AATAAAAACAGTACACTTGGCCCATCTGCTTTCCTGCATAAATTTTCGCCGTTGGCAGACTCTATGTGGTCCACCCTGTCAAAAACGAGGTGCACCACTGTACTGCAAACACGTATGTCGACATAATTCCGGGACCTTAAGGGACAAATCAAATGCGGTTGGCATAAACATGGATGTGGGTGGCATTGTCGGTATCTGTAGTATGCATTCGAGATTTAAGAGAATGCGAGACAGACCGTGCGTCATCAACGGATTGATAGGTCGACACAACATTTCGATTCGGTAACGCGTTTATAGACAATCACAGAAAAAATACGCTCCACTAAAAAAACGCCATGATACAATTTCCCGAATCTGGTCCGAATACATAAGGTGTTATCCAATAATACCGTAAAGTCCGGAATGAATGAGACAAACGGATTGAGTGTAACGCTAGTAGAAAATAGAAAGGAACAGTTTACAAAACCCAGTGTAATGGTATTTTTTACCACCAAAATGTGCTGGTTTTTTATTTTGTTAGGCAAAGATCTTTTTACTACTGTCTCATTCAATCCGGACTTTACGGTAGTACTCTTGTTTATTTATTTGATCCAATCGTTTTTACTGAATAATTGGTGGCTGCAAAGACCGCGTTTTCGTACCGTCGATCATTTTGCAAAGTGCGCGATGCCCTTGAAGCGCTCTTATAAAATCCAGTTTAAGCGGCACGTCATAGCTCGTGTTGCGGTCGTGGGGTTAGACACGGCAATTAAGGAAAGCATTGTTTCGGGTTGGACTGTGTGGGACTGGCTGAAGAACAAGGAAAAGATCAAGACTTTTAGTGGGTCTCAAAAGACCTCGTGAATTCGAAGTAGTTAAAAAAAAAAAAAGTTATTTCAGTTTCTGTTTTCTTAGAGAAACTGTGTTTTACGTTTTGAAGACGATGTAGCTTGTCTTTCTTTGCAAAAGTGCGGTCTGGTTATGCAAAATATGTTTCGTTTATGCGTTTTCAAGATAGTTTTGGCCAATAATATCGGATGGCGTATTACTGTGGCATTTAGCTACTAATTCAATGACACAATAACTTT